AAGAACTTACTGAACAACAAAGCAGCAGATGAGATGGTGGTTTGCATAAATTTGGCTTTTTGGGAATGATGACAGAAGTTCGTAAAACATCCTTGTTATTTGTGTAAATGGCTGAGCATATGTTGTGGGTGAATGGTTGTATATGTGTTGAGGTGGCGATTGTTTTTACCGAACAGTTGAGGAAGATAACCAAGTTTTAGCTCTGATACCAATTTTGATGCAAGATGCATTGAGATTTCACCGGAGAATTATCAGGGGAAAAAGAGAAACGTTGGTTGCAACCAATCTTAATTTTATCAATTTATCAACCGTTCCAACCACTATGAAAAATCCAATAAATTGTAAAAATCTAACTGACGGACTTGGGTCCACCCATTACTACAAGTACAATAATAATAAAAAATGTAATTAATAAAAATCAACAATATCATAAATCGTGATGTCTGCATCAATATATATAAATAAACACACAAAGGTAATTCTCAAAATTAAAGGGGATATGAAACAATATATCAACTTCAAGATGTGTGATTCACTGACTGAACTAAAGATTTTCATGGTGCACAGTCAAAGAACTACAAGCTATTTGTAGTACACCACAGATTATGAGTTACCATGACTTCCCTATCCAACAAGTCATCAATAAAGATTAATCATGAGCTGGAGGAGGTTCATCGCTGGACTTCTTATCTCCTTTACGCTCATTCCATCTTTTCCATGCCCACTGCAATATGAAGAATCCTCCAATGGCATAAACCTGAAACAACCAAAGACAGTGCACGTGAAATTAAAAGGAGATTGTTCTGAATCAAAACAAGAGAGAAGGTAAAGTATTGGCTATAGTGCATGGGCACTCCTACTGGAGTTGCATGTCCGTGTCTAACACATGTCATGTCATCTCCGTCACCGACACTCCATGACCTTCACTATATGTGTTTTTCCTTCCATGACAGTGTTATTATCTAGATTAACTTAAAGTTATTTTAATATAATAAATAGCTACTTATTAAAAAAAACAATTGATTATATCAAAAGATAAAAAAAGTATAAACATAAAGATAGAATATGTAAATCTACAATTTTAAAGATTTTAAATTAACATGTCCACTACGTGTCAGTGTCGTATCAAGCACACGAGTCCGTGTTCGTGCAACATAGAGTATTGGTCTTTCATCAGCTCTTAATTGTGGAGTGTACTTGTATAGTTGGTAGACATACTGAAGCAACTTGAACTTTCAATTTTCTTTCTTAATTTCTATGAAAATGGTGCTTGTCTTATTTTAGTCATTTTCTGGTTCGTCAACTTTGTGCAGCTATATGGACACTAAGACTGTTTCTGAAAAGGTGCAGTCAAGATCAGTCAAGTTCATACTTAAATTAAATTCATCATCCAAACACTTGTAACACTTTAGCTAAGAATATTCATGCATCAAAGTATCCATATTTGTGATCTTTTACACTAACTATTCTTCTTCCAAAAGAAACTTTAATCAAGTAAAAATGATGTAGGCTGGTAGCTTTCACTCCTAAAACCACCGGGAAAATCATTGTTCACGGATTCTATTTCTCATATGTATCTATATCATGTGAATGACCAAGCACTCTCGTGGAAAATGTATGAGTATCTAAAATTATGATCCATAAGCAATGGCATAATCTGCGTTATCTTTAGGAATTAGCAAAATGAATAAAAGAAGGGGGTCTACAGGAAAAAGTAGTATTAAACTGTCATCAAATAAAAGATAGCTTCAGAGAAATTTTCACCTCAATAGAAACATCATCTCGACAAACTTCAAATGGTTGCTACGACAAAGGGACCAGAAAGATATTACAGAAAATTTCCACTGACTCTGCTCTATGAGGAGATATATTGTTTTCGGTTAATTCAAACTAACATAATAAGCGCTCAAGTAAAATCTTAAAGTGAAATATTATAATTTATTTCTTCATATCAATTGACTCCTATACAGAGTGTCAGTCTCTCATTCTACTGGGAACATATCAACCAAAAAGCAAGCTTACCTATTCCTTAATAAGTGACATTTCAATCTAATTCAATAATGTAGTCTTGTATGATTTCTAAGACACAGGCTTAAAGAAATAACCTCGAAGTTCCAGAGCTTGCCTATACAGAACAAAATCTGATATCAACATAATCATCAAAAAGAACTAAATTTACCAGTCCTCTCATGCTTATTGCAATTCATAACATATAAAATACATATTATAAGATTTTCTTGCCACAGCTGCCAAATCCCAATAGTCAATCCATGAAGAATTCAATAAGCTTACATTTTTATATTTTACCTACTACATGAAGAACCTTAATTCTTCAAACTTTACATTGTGAAGTTGAATTTTCACCAGTCATATGTCATCATTAACTTTGAAGTATCATCATAATATACAGACAAATTATTTAAATTGTACATCATATGCAGCATTAAACATTTGTAATTCTATTTTTCATAATTTTAGATTATAAATTATCGTTTATTACTGCCTAAAGATAATAACATGATAGGAACGAATTACCACCCTTGGGGAAAACTGTAAAATCTAGAAGAAAAAAAAGACTTAATAGTACGAAGCGAAATACAAGCAGTTGAATCGTTGATGAACTATGTCAAGCATTGACCTTTTGTGGATGGTGAATCCAAGATAAACTCTAAAATATCCACAAATTCCAACAGGAAGATACTGGGACTGGAGTATGTATTACACTCGATACCTCGATTAAGATTTCATAATAAAACTAAAATCCCTCAAAAACGCAGAAATATTTCAGTCTCCAAGAATACCAGTACCTGCCACAAGATAACCGGGTTAGTATTCTGTTCACCCCCTTCAGCTTCTGCTTCGAGCTTCAATGGAGCCAAGGTCTGCCTCGGGAACTTCACAACAGTGGGTTTATTTTCATCTTCCACCACAGTTTCATTCACAGATGCCCCAATTTTACTCGGGTCGGATTCTGAAACATTATTAATAACAATACCGCTCTTCTTGGCTGCAGGCGGCTTGAATAATTGAAGGATGTTTGAGACAAACGATAAAACGGGATTATCTTGGGTATGGCTGTCTTCTTCTTGTTGTGAAGAGTTTTTTGCCAAAATTTTGTCTTCGTGAGTGAAGGATTGAGGTTCCGCCATTGCTGCCGCTGCTGTGTGTGGAGTATCTCGGGTTTTAGTAAGAGGCGGAAAATACAAGACACTGCAAAACTAGAGAAGTAATCGAAGGACAGAGCAGGTGGAGTGTACACGAAATGTGTCCAACTAATTTCTAGTGGGCTGTGCACAGGAGAGTAAATTCGGGCCAGGCCGGGTCGCATAAATTCTTTGCGGGAAAAATTCAGTTATTAGATATTATCTTTGGCCCATTTCAAAATTGACAATACATCTTTCAAATTTCTGAAATCAAAGATTGACATATAGATACAAATATATATCTCATATATATAAATACATAATGATATATAAGTCAGTTTCCTTAAAATCAGCTCGCACTTACCGTTAAACCCAGATTCTCCGATCGTTTGAAATTAACCTCCCAAAAATACAATTCGTCACGCAGGGAATGATTATAATCCACGGAATTGTGAAATTCACAATCTACAGGCGGAATTAATCCTCTGAGGCGACTCTAATCGGAAAATCCAGGTCACGGCTATCGTCGGAAGATCCAATTCATGGAACAGTTTCCATTACGCCAAACGAATTCGAGTTCA